ATACATATATATATATATATATATATATATATTAGATTTGCTTGCGTTTAAATTGTTTGGTTATTTTCTTTCTTATTTACTTGTTTATTTTTGGCACATATGGGATGCCCCGATAAATCTAACATATCAATCATGATGACATGTAAAAACTGATATCAATCTAAATTAATACAATTTATCTCGACAAGATCTGATATGTTTTTATTTTTTTTTTAATTTTTAAAATTTTATGTGATAAATATCTTAGGATTATCTCATAAATATTTTTAAATATGAGATCGCTTTTTTTATAATTTTAAGAAAGAAGATTTATAAGTTTGATCTGAATTCATAAAGTTGATCTCATAAGTATATCTAATATTTAAAAATAATTTTTTATTTATACTTGATAAGTATATCCAACATTTTTTTAAGAAGTTTCTTATATAAAAAATAGAAAATCTCATATTCCCTAAAAATTCTTCGTTAATGTTCTCAATTACTATACCAATTTTTAATTTGATAAAAAAAATTAAATAAAAATTTAAAATTTTCAAAATCCTATACAAAATATAAAAATATGTTGCAATTTTCCATATCTTCGCAAACGTCGTTAATTTCGGTCATTTCCAATATAGACCTAGTTAGACACTTCATTTTTCCGTCAAATCATCATATCACGTCAAATAATTATACCACATCATTAAAATAATAAAAATAAAGAAATGTTTTTAAAAATTATAAATTTAAAAATTAAAATTGAAATTTTAAATTTTAAAGTAAAGTTTCTACACATAGATATATATAGATACATACAAACATATATATATATATATGTGTAAGTGAATATGTATGTATAGGTGTGTATATGTGTGTAGATAGGAATGTATATATGTGTTATATGCATGTATATATGCATATATATGTATCAATTGTTTTTATTTTTATTCACAAGCATACAAACATATACACATATATACACTCACATATTCACATGATATATATATGTAGATACAAACATAATTATGTATATATATGTAGATACTAGATATGAATAAATATATATGTTTGTATGCAAGTGTGTGTATATATATATATGTATCAGTTTTTTTATTAAATTTTTTAATTTTAAATTTGAATTTGAATTTTTATTAACATTTTTCAACATTTTATTATTTTTATTTATTTTTTTAGTTTTTAATTTTTAATTTTTTTTATTATTTTAATGATGTGCTATGATGATTTGGAGAAAAAAATAAAATGTGTCAAACCACATCAACATTAGGATTAATGAAACTTAATGCCTTCTACACATATGTGGAAAATTTTAACATATTTTCATATTTTATTTAGGATTTCGGAAAAATTTAAATTCACATATAATTTTTGGTCAAATTAAAAAACTGATATAGGAATTGAGAACAAGAATTCATGAAGAAATATGAAATTTTTCTTATAGAAGATATGCCATGTAAGGTCAGTTATGGCTCATAAATATCAATTTAATATATTTTTTAAACAAATATTACTTCAATAGTTTTCTATTTTTGTTTTTAATTTGATATTGAATCACCATTCAAAAATAATAAATGAAAATAAACCGTAAATTTAGTATCTTCTAAATGTGGGGGAAAAATAAAGGTTAAAATACCTGAAAATTTCTAAACTTGTAATTTGGTATAATATTAATTCATGAACTTGTAGATGTGCCTATTTATTCCCGAAGTTACATTTTTTAACACAATAATTCATGAACTTGCATAATAGTTTCATAATCATCTATACCACTAATTGACCAAAGCAAAATTTAAGAATTATTGTGTTCAAAAATACAATTTCAGGAATTATTGTGTATAAAAATACAAGTTCAAAAATAAATAGTCGCATCTACAAGTTCATAAATTAATATTACACCAAATTACAAATTCAGAAATTTTCAAATATTTTTTCCAAAAATAAATAAAATAACAAGAAAGTGATAAATTATTTAATAAAGATCAACTTCATCTAACATTGCAGAAGAAAAAAATTCAAAAAAGTAAAATAATTTTTTTATGAAGAAGTGTAAATCTTATCTAAAAATTATATCTCATATCGTCCAATATTTGTCTAGTTTTTTAAATACAAACATATAAGTCAGATATCTAAGGTGTTCACCTTAAGCCTAACCCTATGCTGCAAAAGGAAAAAAGAAAGAAAAAAATAATCAAATATGAGTCTTAACTAAAATCTTAGATCCGATGTTAATCTAAATTGATAAATGATCAATTTTAATTTTCTAATTAATTAATAAACAGGAGTTCAAAAACCTATCATTGCAAAAGAATTTTAAAAATTAAAATTCTTTTACAAAGGAATATAAGTCTTAATCCATATGACAAATTAATTCAATATTTTTTTTTCTGAATTTTAATAAAAACACATCAAACCTCACATTTCACCTTAGATATCTAACCTCAAAATTTAGATGTAAAATTGATCACAAAATTGAATTCTCCACGAGGAAAATAAAACATTCTAGAAAATATGAATTTAATTAAAACATGAATACAAAGGGAAAATAATAAATGAACATTTGATAATTATTAGGAAGAACAACTTGCATTATATAAAGGGAGGAAACATTCGACCCTAGTCAAAACAATTCAATACATATGATATTAGCAAATAAGCCATTTTTCATTTTCATGGCATATTTTTTCGAAAGAATAACATTGAATAATATTTGTATATATATTTAAGATGGAGAAACCTTAGTCATGCTTGCAACGAGTGATCACAGAGCAACCCCGATGATAAGGGCTGGGCGGAGACGGGTTCTTGATGGGTTTAGGGTTAATTAGTTTCGAATAATCGATATATTCTTGTCTTAGGAAACGTCTCGAACCACCGAGAAAGATATTGCTCGCTGGCTCGGTCTCGGGCGTGGCGCAATTGACCGTTAGGGTTGCAGTTATGACGAGAAAACATATGAGCCAAATCTTCATTGTGACAGACAAACTTTGAATATCTTTGGTTAAGCGATGATCGTTTCCTCAGCCCAAATAGTTTTCTTTAGAAGAATTGGAAATGGTTCCTTAATAGCATTCAATTTAAAGATGGAAAACATAACCTAATTTTGGACATTCCGTTTACTTATAACTAATTCTTACAACAAAATTAGATTGTTTTTGTTGTCTCTATTACTCGTTTTAAGGTAATATCGATTTTTTTTTAATAACCGACCGGTATATTTTAAAATTAGAGTTTTTATTAAACCGTTTTTATGGTTAGACCTGCAAGCTAGTGTGTCATTTATCGATACACTAGTACTAGTGTGTATATATGTATATTGTATTTGGTTGTCCATTATTATAGTCAGTGTTATTGATTCCCATAACCCGGTCCAACTGATTGGACAAAAAAAAAATAACATTGATTCGTAACCCATCTATGATTCCGGTTCGTTTTTAGTTTGGTAATAGAAATATTGTGTAAGACGTCACATACACATTATTTTAGATTTCTATTTTTAGGTTAAAGGTTGGAAGGATTTAGCCAATCTTCTTTTCGTACTAAAAATAGATTTTTGTAATAAAATAAAACTTATTTTGAGTAATTATGTGTAACGTTTAGGTCGGTGTTCTTGAGGGAAGGGATGTGGATCTGGCTTCTATTGTAAATCAACAAGCAGAAGTTCCTCGGGCCAATTTTAAAAAGGAAGCGTTCGGCCCAATTGTATTAAGCCCATATTTTAAAATGAATTATTGATTTTAAAAAAAAATAGGGTTTAGGGTTTCGTGTCTCGTGTCTGTGAAGCCTCAGCAGCTTAGTTAGTTAGATTCTGTGATGTCATATTTATTTATTTTTTAAAATCTCCTAGTCATCTCTCTCCGTCTCTCTCTCTCTCGATCTGTCTGTCTCAAGTCTCTCTCTCTTCTGTCTGTCTCAACTCTCTCTCTCCGTCTCTCTCTCTCAAGTCTCTCTCCGTCACTTGGCGTACTTTCTTCTTAATCTGAGTTTCGACACTCATCTCAGATTCGACAATCTCAGGTGAAGCTCTCATCTCCTCTCAATAACTTAGCTTTCGTGCCTCTCTCTCTCTCTCTCTCTCTCTCTCTCTCTCTCTCTCTCTCATGCCGAGACTGTCGGATCCAGGTAGACGAGAACCAACGGAGACAGCAAGCCATCCAATCGTAAGACAACGCGAGAACAAGGTGCGTTCCTATTCTGCCATCTTTTTCTTGGTTGAGATCCCAGCCTTCGGACGGTGGTCGGAAACCGGCCACTAGAGCCGGAAGTCCAGATGCCGCCGCTCACGCAACTGATTAACCAAATATTATTATTATTATTATTATTATTATTATTATTATTATTTGATAGTTTATGTCTTTAAAATTTTAATGTTTAGTCTAACCTAAATAATTTTATGGCATGGTAACGCTTATGGATGGTGTTTTCAAAAGCTTATATTAACAAAACATTTTTGGAATATGAGCTATGATAAATATGATTATCTCTATAGATATGCATAGTGTAAAATTATTTTTTTAAATAATGGGTATGTTTTCAAAATTTTAACTCACTAAAACTCTTAGACTACATGTTGGATGAAATTGGGTTAAACAGAGATGTTGTGTGGCTGGTGGGCAGATGAAAAAAAAATGCAAATCGTGTGTATATATATATGTATTATTTTAAAAGGAGATCCGTATGATTGAATATAAAGCATACAAGATTGGTTGTTTATTGATGATATGGAAATGTTATTCGATATTAAAAATCAACTCAGGGTACAATGGAAAATTAAATATTCCAGCCTGTAAAGTTGGGACCCTGTGAAGAAGTGGACGAGACATTATATACAGTATATGTACACACACATATATATATATTTATATATATATTTTTGTTCTCTTCTTTTTTCGGGTATTGAAATAATTTTAAATCACATATTTTTTAAACATTTATATCTCGCACATATTTGAGGATACAAAGTGAATCTGTTTTTATGTTTGTTTCGTGAAATCTGTTTACTAGATTCTAGTTTTTGAGTTTTAAAAATAATTTTTAACTTTACAAAAGCATTATTATTATTATTATTATTTAAAAAAAAAAACACAATGGCCACTCCAGAAGAAGAAACCGGCGTGCGTTAGTGTATGATGACACATTTAATAGATTTGTTACAATCGACAATGGAAGTGGAGTCTTAGAGGCATGTGTATGGTCCAGGGGATAATAATGGGATGAGGCTTGTTTGGTTGGGTATAACGCTCCACCCCTTCCCTATAAAGGATCCACTTGTTCCACCTTCCAAACACGCCTTCATTATTTGATTTATAGTGAAATGCCAAAATTTATTGGGAATAAAACTTGAGGGTCTTTTCGTAATTTAGCCCTTGTGTACTTCAACCCTTGTACTCTCAATTAGGGGTGTCAAAACGAGCCCGGCTCGCGAGCTGGCTCGTGGCTCGCTAGAAAACGAGCGATCTGAGCTGTAATTTTTTCAGCTCGTTAAAAAACGAGCCTAACGAGCCAGAGCTCATTGAACACGTGTTCAATGAGCCTGGCTCGGCGAGTTGGCGAGCTGCTCAACGAGCTGGTATTTTTTTTTAAATATATTAAATTTATATAAAAAAAACTCTAATATAATTTTATATTAATTTTTTTCATATTGTTTATATAATATTATAAATATACTAATTAGCCAAGAGAAGACATGAGAGAAACTCTGAGTATTTTGTATACCCCTTTTCTCGATACTGTTGTTGGAGGATAATGTTTGAGGCGTGCATAGTTGAAAAGGTTTTTTCCAACTCAATCTCAAGTCTCCGCCGCTTAGATAGTTAGATTCTGTGATGTCATTTTTATTTATTTTTAAAAAAAATCTCGTACTCATCTCTCTCAAGTCTCTCTCTCTCTCTCTCTCTCTCTCTCTCTCGAGACGATCTCTCGATCTGGTCATAGATCGTCACTTGGCCTACTTTCTTTTTCATGTCATAGGCACAAACACGGAACCAACGGAGACAGGAAATCAACCATCGTATGGAAAAGAAACGGGAGCATAAGGTGCGTACTAAATGATTTTATGGATGGTAATACTTATGAGTGGTGTTTTTAAAAGCACATATTAACAAATTATTTGTCTCTGAAAAATAAACTTGAATTGCCATTTTGAGTATATGGACAAAAATTCTATGTTTGTAATCAAATATATTGAGATTAATATGTATGTATTTATATATATACTATAGGTACAATATATATTTTAAACAATAAAATTTAAAAAACATACCTCAAATTTAGTTTTTTTTTTTTACAAAACGTTTTTGAGATATGAGTTGTGATAAAATGGTTATCTTTATAGAAAGGTATAGTGTAAAATTATTTTTAAAATAATGAGTATTATTTAGTATTGTCAATTGTAATAATCTATTATAAAACTCATCACAATCTATTTATGCCACAGATTAATTCTATTATATGTATATATATAAGATGAGATATCCATCTTTTTTTTCTTCTTTTTTCGGGTATTGAAATAACAGGAAGTGAAATAATTTGAAGTCATATTTTTTAAGCATCAACCCAGATGCTATAACTGATGCCTCTCTCATCGCCTCTCAATTATTCGATTTCGATTTTCATTCTTGTCTGAAATGATTCTCATATCAGTTTTTATGTTGATTGCGGTCGGCTTTTCTCTTGTCTGAATTGATTCTCCGTATCAGTTTTTTAAAAACTTTCAAAATTTCATGACAGTAATTGGAAGAAAGAATTCTTTTTCTTATTATTCAAAAGCTGAGAACAGAACATACATATAGAGTTTGAACATTCATAAACTTGGTAAGAAATCAATTTACATGTATTACACAATAATAAGTTTCCTTCTTGATTCTAGGCAACGTCTCTTCTCTTGTCTGAATTGATTCTCATATCAATTTTTACGTTAAATTCGTGGAATCTGTTTATGTCCGAATTGAGTGTTGACTTGGGTTTTGGCTTTCTGAATCAGGTTCGAAAAGGATAAGGTTTTGTGGGGGTTCTGAATCTGTCTTTTTGAATGGAAGCTAAGATGTCGCCAGTGGTCCGGAGAATGACTGCTTTTGCATTGGCTTCTGCTTCAGGTCTGCTTCAAACTCATCCCCTGGGGAAAGGTACTCTGAACAATTTCTTGCATTGTTCCTCTGTTTTAAGCTATCAGAGATCGACTTTTTCCGGTGTTAGAGACCGCAGTATGTCATACAGAGACAGATTGAGATGTGGGTTTCATGATTGTCATGCTGAGGACGCTGTTGATTTGTTCGATCAGATGGTTCAGTCTCGTCCCTTACCTTCCATCGTTGATTTCACTAAACTATTGAGTGCAATCATGAAAATGAAACAGTATGATGTCACTTCCCTCTGCAAGAAAATGGAATTGCTTGGGATTTCACATAATATCTACTCTTTGAGTGTTCTAATCAACTGTTTTTGCCACTCTCGTCAAGTGTTTTTGGGCTTATCTGTTGTGGGAAAAATCTTGAAACTCGGCTACAAGTCTAATGTAGTCACCTACACTACCCTAGCTCATGGTTTGTGTATCCACGGAAAGTTTTCAGCGGCTGTAAACGTGGTTGACCAAATGGTGAAAGAGAGATACAAACCTAATGTTGTAACATTTAACACTTTGGTCAACGGACTTTGCTTTGAGGGTAGAGTTTCTAAAGCATTGAATTTATTTGATCAGATGCTAAAGATGGATTGTCAACCCGATGTAGTTACATTTGGCATTATTATAAACGGGGTCTGTGAGGCAAGAGATTATGCATTGGCTATGAATCTACTCGAGAAGATGGAGGAAATGCATATTGAGATCAATATCGTAATTTATAGTACGATTATGGATTATCTTTGCTAAGCCAGACACGTGGAGGATGCGTTGAACCTTTTCGGAAAGATGAATAATTGTTGGATTGTACCAGATGTTGTTACTTATAATTGTTTGATAAATGGCCTTTCCAGGATTGGTAGATGGAATGATGTTGACCGAATGTTGAGTGAGATGGTGAAAATGAAAATCACTCCTAATGTTGTCACTTTCAGTGGATTAATCGATGCACTCTTTGAAGAGAAAAAGTTTATGGAGGCTGAAGAATTGTACGGGGAGATGATCCAGAGAGGTTTAGTTCCGAATACTATTGGTTACACTTCATTGATCAATGGTTTTTGCCTAAAGAATCGCCTTGACGAAGCAAAACAAATGTTCAATTCTATGATCACCAAGGGATGTTTTCCAAATGTACTAACTTTTACTTTTATGATAAATGGTTACTGCAAGGCTAATAGGATCGATGAGGGTATTAACCTCTTTTATGAGATGTCTCGAAGTGGATTGGTTACTAATGCAGTTACTTACAACATCCTCATCCAAGGGTTTTACCGAGTAGGCAACCTTGGTGTTGCCCAAAAGTTTTTCATAGAGATGCAGTATAAGGGTCATCATCCTAATCTTGTGACTTACAGTATTTTGCTTGATGGACTTTATAAGAATGGAAAAACGGATAAGGCACTTTGCCTATATATCTCTCCATAGTGGCATGATGTATGGTTTGTGCAAGGTTGAGAGGGTTGACGAAGCATTGATATTATTCAATACGCTTCTTGGCAAAGGGGTGAAACCGAATGTTATCATGTATAATATAATGATCTCCGGACTTTGCGGAAAAAATTCACTCTATGATGTCGAGAAGATAATTGGGAAGATGAAAGAGGTTGGTTGTTTTCCCGATGAAGGTACGTATAACTTATTGATCAGGGCTTGTCTTAGAAGTCGCTTTCCATCGATAGTTATCGAGCTGATACGAGAAATGCGGAGCAATGGCTTTTCTATGCATGCATCAAGCTCAAATATGATAAGGGATATGGTATATGAAGGTAGATTGGAAAAGGGGTTTTTGGATCTCCTCTCTTAGTAGATGTAAGTACTAAACGGCTAGCATTGCATGATTGTTTGTTTGATGAGAAGAACAAGAAGCTTCAAGCTATCCAGGTAAAATATCTCTCTGTTTCACTTCCTTTGTTTTCAATAGCATAAATCCCGTGTCTTTGTTTGTTTGGGCACAATTTCACTTCCTCTGTTTTCAATGTCATAAATCCTGTATGCCCTTGTTTGTTTGTTTGGGCACAGTTTCAGCAGTGGCAATCCCCCTGGAAAACATGGGTCGACCGGCACGGGCCCCGAAACATATTTGACATCTGTAGAGAGTCTCAAGCCCTGAAACCGAACCTGGACTACTCGGTGGTAAGAGAATTCGAGACGGTCTCGCTTCATTTGACATCTGCAGTTTCTAATCCACTTTGTTTGTAAAATATGTCGATAGTGTTACAAACATAATCAAAATGTCTCTTTCAAACGCAGAAACCAAGAGAATCGAAACAGAGGAATAGTGTTTGGGTTTCAATGTATCGTTCAGAACATCCTCTCGTTTTTCCCCCATCAAAGACGCAATCAAATTGAGCCTCGTCTCAGAAAGCTTCAGAAACTCATGGCTCTTCGGTCGGACATCGGACATCACGACGAACTTCAAAAAACGATACAGCGGCTCGAGGGCATGGAGCAGAGGCTGCGGCAAATGATGTATTGAGGTAAGAACAATGTCCCCTGGAAGTTCGATGCTTTTTACCCCCTGTTTTTGGGAAACTGCATAAGATTCTGATGAAAATGTCCATCAAGGCCTGGTAAAATCAAAGGTGAGAGAGTATGCATTAAATTTTGACTGACCATTTCTTCATCCGTCTCATTTTTACAGGAACCAATCTGGTAACACTGTTTGTTTAGCAATGGGCGTTCAATGGAAGTGGAGGCTGAAGCAAGAAGGGGCTGTCGAGAATCAGAATACGGCTTCTCCTGATGGACAGTTAGTGAAATATCAGCCTCCAATGCACGAGCAAGGTCGAGTAGAAGCAAAATGGATGGGACAGAGCCAAACATATGGACAAGCTGACCGAACAGGTGGTCTTCTCTGTTTCGAGTTTTCAGTCAAACCCTAAATTTACAGCTTGCCTCATTGGGTTTTTTGCTTGGATCTGTTTTTTTTTTTGTATATGACAGAGCTTTTTTTTTCCCCTTTTGTCATTCAGGCAAGAGCCATGATCCTTGGATGTTCCAAGTGTTTTGAGGTAAGAACGATGCTGCCCCTGGAGCTTCTGTTAATGGAGATGTTAATGGAGATGATGAGTTAGAGGCAACAGACAAGGAAGGAGACAAACCAGAATCTCAGGCGTTCAACTCTCTTAACGTGATAACAGAGATCAAGCAAGTTTCATTTCCTGTATAGAACAATATTCACTTACCAATTTCTTCCTCTTCTGTAACGTTAGTATTGTAACTTTCCATTCTACACATTGATAATATTTGTAGTATATATGATGTACAGATTCATCTTACGAAAATAAGAAATACAGGGCATTCTTCTTCATCTTCCTAAAACCTCGATCCTGTCTTTGCTCGATTTCTTCGATTTGTCTTTTCTTTATGGTATTAGAGCGACGTCGGTCATAGCCTCCTCTGATTTTCGTTTTCTTTTCCGCTGCAGAATCATCCTTATTCTTCCTCTTACCTATGTCGATTTCACCATGGATATGAATCTGAAACCCATTCCGATCACCCTCAACGGTGACAACTACTTTTATTGGTCCAAAGCCGCGAAGGCGATGCTAAGCAGCCGTGGCCTTTGGACCCATGTTGTCAATCAAGAAGCTTCTACCCCGGCGAACAGTGCTGCAGAAGGAGGAGTTTCCGACACCAATGCGGAACAACAGGCTGAAGGAGATGAAGCTCCCAGACCACAATCGCAATGTCAAGCTGTCATTGATGCAGCCAAATGGTATCAAGACGACCAGCTGGCCCTGGTTATTCTCCAAGGATCTCTGGAGAAAAATGTTCTCCAATCGTTCATCGCCCTTGAGTCTGCCAAATCGATGTGGGATGCTTTGAAAAACACGTATGGTAATATCTTAAACATTAGCCGCATTTTTGAGATAAAGAAACAAATTTTTCAGCTGCAGCAAAACGGCGATCAATTTACCAAAATCCAAGGTGCGTTTTGTGCTCTTTGGAATGAATTGGAGGAGATCAGAAGGTCCTCATTGAAAGAAACGAAGAAGACAAAGTCTTCGCTATGCTTTTGACTCTTGATGCAAGTTACAACAATCTTGTTTATCACTTGCTTCGTCAATCAAATCTTCCTAGATTTGATGAGGTTTGCATGATAATAAAGAGAGAAGAGGGTGGGAGAAATTTGTTTTCAGGTCCTGGTGAACTTGCTCACCTCTCCCACCAGCACGAGGCATCTGTGGTACCTTCGGCGAAATTTTCTTCCACGTCCAGACCTGCTCGTGATCGGAAACTCTTCTGTGACCATTGTAAGCGTACCGGGCACACGGTGGAACGCTGCTGGATGTTACATCCGCACCTCAAGCCCCCACGATACAAAGACACAGCTCCTAAACGTGGCACAACCCTGAGCACAGGAAACACGGTGGTTTTCACCGACGATGAGATGGCCGGATTCAAGCAGTTTTTGCTCACCATGAAATCTCAGGATTCGGGTAATTTTTCTGGTTCTCCTACTCTTTTCCATCCTCGTATAGTTGTTGATTCAGGAGCCATATCCCACATGTTCAATGATCGGGGTTTGTTTCATGAACTTCAACCTGCTCACGGGGTTGTTTCTGTCGCCGATGGTAAGCAATGTGCCATACAGGGGCATGGTTTGGTTAAAATTCTTGATCGTCATCTACAAGCTCTTTATGTACCTGACTTTAAAAATAATCTTTTATCTATTCCTAAACTTATAGAAGAGATAAATTGCAAAGTGATTTTTTATACTAATAGAGTTGTCTTTCAGGATATTGAGACGAATTCAATTCTCAGAAAAGGGATTAAGCAGCAAAATCTTTACTATCTCCAAGCTTCCCCACCGATTACTCATTCTGCTTTTCACTCTCTTTGGCATGCACGTCTTGGACATCCTCATCAACACGTTTTAAATTTACTTGTTCCGAAGAAAAAGACTGATTCTTTAGTTTGCGAAGCTTGTATGCTTGGCAAACATTGTCGTTCGGTTTTTCCTATTTCTACCACTATTTATGAGAACATCTTTGATTTAGTGCATTCGGATGTTTGGACTGCTCCTTTCTCTCGTGATGGATACAAATATTTTGTTACGTTTATTGATGAAAAATCCAAACACACTTGGATTACTCTTCTTAAACGTAAGAGTGATGTTTTTGATGCATTTAAAAATTTTCATGCTTATGTTTTTACCCAATTTGGGGTTCATATTAAATGTCTAAGAACAGATAACGGGGGTGAGTATCTAAACAACCAGTTTCGCGACTTTACTCTTCGACATGGAATTCTTCATCAACGTTCGTGTCCACCCATGCCACAACAAAACGGAGTTGCCGAACGTAAAAATCGGCATCTCATGGAGGTTGCTCGCACGTTCTCTTTCATCGCAATGTGCCCAAGCATTTTTGGAGTGATGCGGTGAAATTGGCGTGTTACCTCATTAACCGTCTCCCTACTCAAGTGCTTCGGGATAAATCTCCCCATGAGGAAATTTATAACAAACGCGGTTCCATTGATCACCTAAGAATTTTTGGTTGTGTTTGTTATGTTAAAGTTTCAGATGAAGAACGCAACAAACTCGCCCCTAAAAGCTTACGGTGCATCTTCCTTGGTTACCCTATGGATCAAAAGGGATTCTTATGTTTTCATCCGAGTACCAATCGTTTGTACACCTCTCGGGATGTTGTATTTGTGGAACAACTGAGTTTCTATGTCAAGAAGGATTGGCCGAGTTTAGAAGAACTGGTTGTTCAAGGCACCGATGCTCCCACCAACGTTGACCAATACATTGCTACTATTCAACAAACAGGAAATGAAGTCATGCCACCTGTCTCTTCTATTTCTTCTTCACTGCCTCAAGACCATCATGCCGACTTGCCAGAACAGGGTACCCCTGAACCTCACCTTGTTATTTTTCCAGCTGATACTCCTTCTACAGATACAGGTACCTCTGGGCAAACTTCTTCTAGATCAGACTCGGCTGCCCCTCTTCCCATGGCGATCGACGAACTCGTCGAGTCGTCTCCACCATCGGACTCTCTGCTTCAGGGGGAACTTACTCTTCCTCCTGATTCAAGTTCTGACCAAATCGCAGTAGTTCCTCCATTGGTTATACCTTTCGACTCTTCTCTGGATGATGAACAAGTTCTTCGCCGAAGTTCGAGGGAGCGCCGACCCACTTGGAAGCTGCGTGAAAAATCCAATCAGGTTATGGGTGTTTTTCCTTCGATTCGTGCTTCCTCTCTCTCTCTAACCTCTGCAGGTGCTCCGCCATGCCTTCTCTCTCCGGAATCCACTCGCTCCTCTTTTTCCCAGCCTGTCGACCCTGCCGATTCTGTCGTCGTGTCCAACTCTTCGTCCTCCCAGCAATGTGGCATGCCTGATTCCATCTTCTCTTCTGATGGGTGCTTGGTTACTTCAATTTCACCACAAATCTCTTATGTCAAACATCCCATTGCTTTGTTTTCTAACTTAGGTGATTATTTACCCACTGATCAATGTTTTCTAAGTATGCTGGAATAGGGATTCGAACCTAAAACTTATGCTCAAGCTCGACAACTTCCCGTCTGGCAAGCCGCAATGGACGAAGAGCTCGGTGCACTCGAACGCAATGAAACATGGGAGTTGACGGAACTTCCTGCTCATCGCAAAACACTTGGATGCAAGTGGGTTTATAAAATTAAGTATTGCAGTGATGGGACAATCGAACGTCACAAGGTCCGTCTGGTCGCTCAAGGATTTACTCAAACTTACGGGGAAGACTACAATGATACTTTTGCTCCAGTTGCTAAAATTCCTGCTGTCCGTGTTGTTCTTTCTCTTGCCGCTAACCTTTCTTGGTCTCTTTGCCAGATGGACGTCAAAAACGCTTTTCTTCAGGGCGATTTGATGGAAGAAATTTTCATGAAAATTCCACCGGGCTACACTGCTGTCACTTCACCTAGTCAAGTGTGTCGCCTAAAGAAATCCATCTACGGCCTGAAGCAGTCACCTCGAGCATGGTATACGAAGCTTCATGATGCGCTCATAGCTCGGGGCTTCTCGCGTAGTCATTCCGATCATTCCTTGTTCACTCTTCACAGTGGATCTGGTATAATCGTTCTTTTAGTTTATGTCGATGATATCATCATAACAGGGAGTGACTCTAGCGGCATTAACGATACTAAGTCCTATTTACATCAAGTTTTTGATATTAAAGATCTTGGTTCTCTTAAATATTTTCTCGGTATTGAAGTCTGTCGTGTTTTCGATGATTTATTTTTATCACAACGCAAGTATGTCCTCGATCTTCTTCGTGAAACAGGCAAACTTGGCGCCAAACCCGTTCGTACACCAATAGAAGAACATTTCAAAGATCAACGCGAGGGAGAATTACTGGAAAATGCTGAACAATATCGTCGCGTTGTTGGTAAACTTATATATCTTACGATTACTAGACCTGACTTAAGCTTTGCTGTGCATCAGGTTAGTCAGTGGATGCATGCTCCAACTACCTTTCATTGGCAAATGGTGGATCGCATCCTCAAGTATCTAAAGGGAACACCAAACAAAGGACTATGGATGAGACGCAATAAACATACAAAGATCATAGCCTATTGTGATGCAGATTGGGCAGGAGATAGATCGGACCGAAAGTCTACCACTGGATACTGCACATTTGTCGGAGGAAACCTTGTCACGTGGAAAAGCAAGAAGCAGAACGTGGTGTCGAGATCAAGTGCAGAGGCAGAATACCGAGCAATGGCTAATACAACAAGTGAGATTGTTTGGCTTAAACAAACACTTGAAGAACTGAGATCAAGACATCTAAGCCTATTCCTCTTCATTGCGATAACCAAGCGGCAATGCATATCGCTGCTAACTCGGTCTTCCACGAAAGAACGAAACACATCGAGGTAGACTAACACTTTATTCAAGAAAAGATTGCAAATGGATTAATTTCTACAATGTTCACTCGGAGCCAAGATCAGATCGCCGATATCCTCACCAAAGCCACTAGCTCCTTTGTGTAATTCAAACAAACAAAACTCAGTAATTTCTCACCAAATCAGAAACTGATGAATGCTTACAGATCTGTTTTTCCAGGAAACAAACTTCATTCATATATAAAACGCAAAATTACATAAGTCTTATACAGAAGCAAAATATAGAAAAATAACTGCCACTAGAAGTTACATAAAACTGAAATACTACTACACTAATAACTGAACAAAGAAACTGCAATTTTGAAACATAGAAAACGTACTTCCATTCTCTGCAGCTTCCCACCAGAACATGACTTTGATTTCAGCTCCACTTAATCAGACTTGAACCAAATCAGCTAACAAACTCCTCCTTGGTTCAAG